TTCTTCTTCTTCTTCTTCTTCTTCTTCTTCTTCTTCTTCTTCTTCTTTTTCTTTTTCTTCTTTTTTCTTCTTCAGGAAAGCCAAAGATTCCTGTGGACGGGACGTGTGGTTGACAAACGAGACGTACTGGAAGCTCAGACAGAATCCCGGTTTTGCTAAAACTGAAAACATATCTGTGTGGTAACGAGACACCAAATGACATTTAAGAGAGAGAGAGAGATTTAAAGATATCGGCATTGGGTATTTGGACAGCATATATGAACCGCTCTGAGACACGTTCAGGGTGGAGATAGTGCTGCTGGTCTCCTCTCGTCGTTCCTTCTGTGCACCCGTGACCGGATCACAGGAACCCTTGGCGCCGGGTACCTCCATCAGACCATCAAGTCCCCCAGCGTCCAGCAGCACAGGTGAAGAACCGTGGACAGAACTTTCTCATCATCGTCAATTTTCTAATTTTCTTTTTTTTTGAATAATTTGATCAGCACATATATGTTTATATTTTTGAGAGTTTTCTGCAGAAAAGAATGTGTGACGCACACAGATTGCATTTCTCTGCCAGGTTAGTAAGAGGCCTGCTGTATTAAAAACATTTATTTAAATCATGCTGTCTTGTGATGAGTACAGTTTGACTGTATGAATGTACTGAACTTATTGTTTATCTGTGTCGGCCCACACATTCTTCAATCTCTTCTCTGTCATGGCCGTTTTTCAGCCGCAGCTGTTTTCATCATAAGAGCTCTTAAAACGAATTCAACATAAATACGACAGTCAGTACATACACATATTTAAAAGTGTTTTTATAGTGAAAATAGTATCCAGCTGGTTGGAAACATGTACATACTGTACTTATACAGTACATTGAACTGTGTTTTATTCTTCTGTGATATCAATGAATGTGTTCTGACTTCATTTGACTGCAGATAAATGTATTTATGGACTCGTGTCTGGAAATAAAGTTGAATGTATAATTATAAGTTGTTCGAAAGTGATATTCCAGCACAAATTAATTCTCACATAATATCTCATTAAATTGGATCTGCAGCATTTTCTTTACTTTGTTCAGTTGATCAAAAGTTCTATACCGTCACTAAATAAAAGGAAATCGGACGAGGTTTGACGTGTGTAAGCTTTAATTTCATGAATAAAAAAAAAATACAATACACAATTATGCCACTTTTTTAATAAATAACAGTTTTCCCCGTTCAGAACATTTTCATCTTATTTTTGCAATTTATAAGCTCTTAACAAAAGAGTCGGAGGAGGATTATTGCTCCCTCGACATAAACAGTGCACATGGCTCACACACAAAAATAACATGCTTGTTGCTCGACCTCGTCTGGTCTCTCTTCTTCACTCTATTTCTATATTATACAGTAAAATCTCTGGAAACACAGTTCCCACACAGTCGTACTCTCTTGCTGAGAGCAAACATGTGCGCGAGGGAAACGCAGACTCATGGGAAATTGAGGAATTGGATTGTTAAACATCAGGGATCGGCTGAAGTTGATTGTAATTGCTGAGATGTCCAGCAGGGGTCGTTCCTGAGGCGTCTGAAAGCTTTTTCATTCTGCTGTTTTTATGTGAGATCTTGCACTCAGGAGTGAACCACGTCAACAAACCACAGCACGTTAAAATAAATAACCGACATCGTCCACAGGCCAGCGATCACATACAACGTTGCTCTCATTGTTTTCTGCAATGCCACCGATGATCCTAAACTAATTTACTTTCTATTAATTGCACTTGAAGCACGAGTTGTCTGACGTACACCTTTTAAGGTCCATCGTCACCTCTTTCCTACGACATAAAATTTAAATAGTACATCTTTTGGAAATGTTACACAAGCAACATACAATATATCCATTCTGTTTACAGCATAAACACTTCATTACCATTTAACTTTATTTAAATGTTGAGGTAAAGGACTGAGCTGTCACACACTTTGTCCCTTTTTGCATCAGCATCATTGAGACCATTTTGCAGAGTGCTGCAGTCAGACTTTAGACACAACTCGTAAATAAAACCAGCTCGGCTCAGAAAAGAGCTTGAATTTTGTGTTGACATGTGAAACCTTAATAGAGTGCTGCAGTAATGAGTCCCAAAACCAGAAATGAGTTGGCGTTTTGGCACTTCTGTGTCCCAAGTCTTGAAATTCATGTTTTTGTTTGGTTAGAGGCCTAAAATAAGGTCTGTGTTTAACACAAGCTGAAGAGAGTTTCACATTTTGTTCAACGATTTAAAATAAGTCAGTAAACACCTCTCTGGTGAATTTAGAAGCTTTTACGTGTCATAAAAAAGAGTGTAAATGAGACGACTAAACGTCCTCAYGAGAACACTAGTGAAGTCATGTGACCGTGGTGGAGCTCCTTCATAGCCTAACGTGAAGTCATGTGACCGTGGTGGAGTTCCTTCATAGCCTAAGGTGAAGTCATGTGACCGTGGTGGAGTTCCTTCATAGCCTAAGGTGAAGTCATGTGACCGTGGTGGAGTTCCTTCATAGCCTAACGTGAAGTCATGTGACCGTGGTGGAGYTCCTTCATAGCCTAACGTGAAGTCATGTGACCGTGGTGGAGTTCCTTCATAGCCTAACCTTAGCTTCTTATTTATGCTGATTGTACTCACGCTTCAAACATCATAAAAGTGGTGTTCATTTGTGAAGAATCATCAAAAACATTTGTTTGCCAAAGAGATTATTTCGTGCAATCATCCAAAATACAAAGGAATAATCCTATTGGCTTTTTGTGGAGGGTGTGAGAGTGTGATGCTAACTTCCTGGTTGGCCTTTAAAAACACGTCATCCCTGCAACACTCTAAAAAGGAAACGGGGATTTAAAAAGACAAATAGAAATACTTAAGTCCAATCATCCAACTCAACCATTAAATGTTAACCAGGCACCGAAAAAACAAAAGCTGTATTTTATCAATTCAGTCGACAGATTTTGCAGATTTCATTTTCCAACAATAAGGTCTTAAAGTTGTCTCTACGCTGCCAGGAATTTAACTCCTTTATTAGTTAACGCTTTGCCGGCCGAAGTCTCATCAAATTTAAATATATTGAGTCTAAAAATACTGCAATCAGCCTGTAAAATACCCGACACATTTAAGTCTCAACTGTACGAGCGGAACTCCTCGCTGGCCCCTAAAACCCCCAAATTCTCTGAAGAAGAATATATGAAACATTTGGTATCAGAAAGTTGATATGTGCTTTGATCACATTCTGTTTTTCTGTTTTACTGTGAAGGAATAGTTTAATCTGAGTTTTTTGACGAGCTAGGCTAGCTGTTTCCCCCTGCTTTAACTCTTTATGCTATGCTATGCTAGGCTAGGCTAACGGTCTCCTGGCTCGAGCTTAATTTTTAGCGTACAGAAATGAGAGTGGGATCAATCTCAAAATGCGAAACTATTTCTTAAAGTATTATGTTTTCTTTTCTGGTTGTTGTCACTATTTTAGATACAGCTTAAAAAAATCAGATATCTACAAAAGTACAGAATGCTGCTACCGTTTTCATACACTCAATCAAGCATTTCAAGTGCAGATGTATTTGTACTTTCCTCTCTCCCTTTAGAAAAGACTAAAGTCACCCTGCACTGCACCGAACGTGTGCCCGTCTGTCGCCTCCAGTGTTGTCTGAGGCCATTAGCACACCTAGGTTTAGGAATGAGGAGCAGATCTCTGATCAGCGCCGACTGCAGCCTCACTCTTCATTTCTGTCACCGGGCTGGGAGCCGGGACTCTTGTCAGCCAGAGTCACGACATGATTGGCCCGAAGACTTGGGAGGAAATTCAGAGTGTCTGTCTGGTCACTTTGTGCTTCTCGCACCCTCAGACCCTGTTTATCGAGGGTCTGAGGGTGACAGGGCCCCGTCTGTTTACCTACAGGTGCATGTAGCCGGTCTGAATGACCCACTTTTTAACACGTCTGCACTGGAAAACATGAACAGTGAGTGCACTTAGTTTGTGTTTCCAGTTCCGTCGTTATCGATGTTGGGTTTGATCGCAGGCTGTATGTGTGTGTGTGTGTTGACAGCAGCGTCTTCATATCCACTGACTGCAGCAGAGGCCTGGGTCTTTGTTATAATGAGGCCTTTTTCCACTCTATGAAACCAAACAGTTTTGTGATGAAATGTTTTGTATGAAATCCTTAAATGAGCATAAAGCTCATGCAATAGGAGAGGGTGAGCTACAGGAACACTTCACCCACAAAATAACCATCTGTGTATTGATTGCTCATCCAGAAGCGGCTGAAAATTTAGTAAATCCTTCATCAATTTTGAACGGATTTTATGATTTGGTTCATCAAGGATTTTCTCCGTCTTTTGAGTCTTTGATCAGCGTGGAGGCATGTCAAAGCAACGCGGGATGAGTAATGGATATACAAATGGTGTTTTACAGGTAGTATTACTTTAAAATGGGAGTATTTTAAATTTTTTGTGACAAATTGGTGTAACTCAATGTCTTTAAAACACATTTTTTGCCCAGAGGCTCACATTGCTCTACCTCCACCTCTACTCCAAGAGCATCGTTCTTCTCCCACCACACTAACTAGTGGGTAGTACTGCAGCTTTGACCTATCTTTATTTAGGGCCATTTTATAGCCGTTTACAGACCCAGAATTGGAAAAGTCAGACAGTGAATATCACTCGTTTTTCAACATGTGACATCCCATAGAAAGGCAGTCGAAAGGTTTATGAAGTTAGTGCTTCGTTCATGCTTTAAAGCTGCCGGTATCCTTCATCGGAACTGCCTGTCAGGTGGTCGAATAGCTTCAAAAACTAGTGTCTGATGTTCAATAACTTTCCATAAACCGACAATCAGACACTCGCACCCATTTCACGCCGTGATTAGAGGTGATTGGGAAACGGAATACTTTGAGGAGCTTTGAGGATGTTGGTTTGCCGCCAGGAGAAACCAGAGTATAAAAGAACCAAACGTTTGTTGTGTGAGAGCCTGTCCTTTTAAAAAGTACAACTGAGACCTGTTTGGTAACTAACACCAGAAGGATCCCAGCAGGACTCCCTTACATGGTTACATGGACGTCTTTTTTGCAAAACCCGGCCAATGTTCAGTTCATTTTTGTTTGAGCGATGAATCGACTAATCGTTGCAGCTCTAATGAAGCTAAATGATTCAGTTTTATCCGATTGGACCGCCTCTAATGTTAACAGTCTCTGCGTTTTAGACATATGCAAGGATCTAATCACATGATAGTGCAAACAGCGTAGATTTGCAAACACCCATATGGGCATTATGTTGCTATGAAATGCAAATTGTTGCAAAATTCATAGGAACTTCACAGATACAAGCTCTGTTTTTACACCTGTGAGATATGTTGGATTGACTAAGGACTTGCTATTTCTGCTGTGGTTGCAGATTTACTTAACACACACACACACACACACACACACACACACACACACACACACAAATACACACACACACACACACAGAAAAGGTTGTTCCGAGCCGGGTTGACTTAGATTAGCCTGCCGAGCTTCAGATCATGTGCTTGCTAAGCCATTTTAACCTTCTGCCATCGGTTCACTCGGCCCTGTCGGCCGTGCAGCGCTCCTCTGCAGCCACCAGTCGGCGCTGCACTTGAGCCGTATTCGGAGAGATGACTGTTTGTGTGATGGTGTGTGTGTGTGTGTGAAATGTAATTTCTGCTCAGAATCATCAGGGGGGAAATGACCGAGAGCATATTGCATGAGTATGTGTGAAAGGTTGAGGGTGAGAAGGAAGAGACAGACGGAGACAAAGATGGAGAAAAAAGAGACAGAGAGAGTGTTTGACGCGGAAAGAACAGACAATCCCTGCAGGCGTCTGTCAGCAAAACAGATATGCAGATATCATTTTTCTCCCCCCCCCCCCCAAATCTCCAGATGTTTCAAGGGCTTAAGTCACAGGTCTGTTTGTCTGTTTGGTGTTTGTGTGACTCTAGGGCAGTTTCCCCCAGTCACATCCACTTCTGTTCAACACTAACTTTGACAGTAACCCTGGAAGTTTCTCCTGTAATCATTCAACACTTTGAGGGGGGGGGGGGGGGGCTTTTGTGATGTGACAGAAGATGAGGCTGCACGCACGTCTGCAGCAGAATCAGAGACTGTTCCAGCCCTTAATCATGACCCGACCGGACAGACATGAGGGCGGTGTGAGTGCGCGGGGGAGACGCAGGGAGAGACTGTGGCGACTTATGGTTTCAGTGAGTGTAATAGCCGTAGTAGTCTGCGTCGCTGTTGCTGTCCTTCTCGCAGACATCTCCACCACGTGGAGGCGGAGAGTTTTCAGTGCTGGACGTGTACGGAGACACCCTCCTCTTCTTGCTGTCCCCCACGTTGCCCTCAAACAGGCCCGAGTCGGCCGAGGCCGCTGATTTCACGGAGGGGGGCTCGAGCCAGGGGTCCTCCACCACCACCTCCACCACAGTGTCTTTGGACTTGTCCTGCAGCAGGGGCGGCTGCAGGGCCTCGAGGAGCGATGGCGGGTGCAGCCGGGGGTTGCCGGGTGACGTGGAAGAAGATGAGGAGGATGAGGAGGACGATATGGGCCTAAACCAGCTCAGACTTGGGGCGGGCTTACTCGGGTGGCTGAGGTACTGAGGGGTGGGCCGACTGGTGGTCCAGCCCGCCGAGGTGGCCCCTGAGACGGACACGCTTGAAGATGCAAAAGGATGGTCTGGGTAGTAGCTGAGCGCGTGGTGAGCGGATGTCTGCAAGGGGAAGGGCTTGTAGAAACCGTTTCCAGAGAAGTCCCCATCGTAGGAGGAAGTGAAGTCAAGCCGGTTGGCGGCCATGCCCTGCTGAGGCGGCAGGTACCAGCGGCTGTGAGGACCGGGGCTGGAGGACGGGTCTTTGTGCTGCTGGCCCACGGCGATGGGCTCGCGGCTGAAGAAGCGGCTCTGGGGCAGGGGGCTCATGTACTGCTCAGAGAGGTAGCCTTGAGGGTAGCAGCCTCCTGCCAGCAGCTGCTGGCTCTCTGTAGGGGAGGGGGTGAGGCGATCAGAGTCGGGAGGGGCGTATAGCCTATAGGCGGGAGGGAGGAGGGAGGGCAAGAGAAAAGAGTGTGAGAAGAGAGAGAAAAAAAGAAGAAGGTGTTATTTCCTGCCCAAAACCTCAAACTATCTATCAAACATCACACAGCCCCTCACACCCTTTTCACTGCAGCGAGCTCCAGCAGCACAGTAATGACATCTATTACAATATTAAAACATAGCACCAGCAATTATCCAGTCACATTGTTGATGGTGAGAAAATCCTAGATTCAAAAACACGAAACATACAAATGCATCTTTAAAAAAGAAAAACTATTTTACTTACGTGTCGTAATTGTCGCGGAAACCTTTAGCGAAGGGGTTATGATCTATTTTCAGCTGAGTGATCTGTGTAAGGAATCGGAGGAGGGCAATGAGAGAATGTAGGCATCGGAAAAAAAAAAAAGAGAAGGAGTGAGCAACCACGTAGGAGAAACAAGAGAGCGGCAGAGAGAGGAGGTCGCTGACTAATAATTACTGAGGATTACATGCAACTTCTAGTCTTGTTGTTGGAAAGAGTGGGCACACACACACACACACACACACACACACACACACACACACATATATATTGTGACAAAATCAACATCATCCAAACAGGACGAGTGTGTGTTGCATTTGGATTTCAGTAACTCCTCCACAATGTATTTGAACAGCTGTTACAGATATACTATATGCAGCACATGCTGGGGAGGAGGGAGCAGCAGCGCTCAGGTCAGGTGGGGTGAGGTGTCTCTGAGTTGAACTGTATAGTGACCTGTGTTTACACTCGCAATAGATCGTAGGATTGTAAATTAGCGCGTGTGTGCGTTTTTGATACATGCATAAACCAAAGGCTCTATCTGAAGCGTGGCCCTGACACGAGTCACTGAAGACGGATCTCTACTCGTTGGTTCAAAATGTGAAACAAATACGGACACAAGATTAAAAGTCAAGGGGAGACGAGACACTGCAGGTGAAGAGGGTAAAACATGCAGCTAACAGATATTACTGTCAATCTTCCCAAGTTGATTACTTACATCAAGAGAATTAAGTTTTTCATGTTGTATAAATGAGTCTCTGAATGCTGTGTGAACAAACCCCTCTGTGTGAACCTTCAGAGTATAGAGAGGAATGAAATGTACAGTTTGGTGCATGTAAGAGCTGCTGAAGTGGAGATTTCTGGATCAGAGTCTGAAAAAAACTTATTTAGAGAAAACCGCCTTTAAAGATATGTTTTGGTAAATTACAGACATTAAGAAGACACTACAGGTCTATGTCAATGACGTTTTCTGAAATGTTATGTTTGAATATGCAAATTAGGTATTATCTAATGGTAGCTTTTGGTGAATTTAGGAGAAATCTACAGACACAAAGTAGTAAAATAAACATCTAAATGTGTATTTTAGATGTTTTCTTTCAACTAGTCTGAAAGACGACTGTCTAGACCAGTGCATGAAAAATGATGTTTTCACCTTTAGTGTCTCTCCTTAAAAAACTAAACTAAGCTGATGTTGACCATCGTTTGCAAAGAAACAACACAGAACACTACCCTCCCTGATGAGACTTACGTCTGCGTTCTGATAGGCGGTGACGGCGATGAACTGCGTCTCCGGGAAGATGAAGCTCTGAGCTTTGGATGAGAGGTAGGGATCCTCGGAGCCGTCCTCCTTAACCTCCACGATGTGAAGACGAGGCTGGTACTTGTGGAGCGACTGAAGCACGATCATCTGCAGGAGAGAGAGAGAGAGAGAGAGAGAGAGAGAGAGAGAGAGAGAGAGAG